GCTCATTCTCCAAAGGTTTTACTAAAGCTACGTGAGTTCCATTAATACAGCCAATTACACCTGGGATTCCAAATTTTTCCACAAAATGTAGTTTTCATTTCCTCAAATCCTCCGCCGATCTGTCCAACTTAATCCACTTAGGACACATAGTTTCCAAAGCATTGATAATTTCTGACAATATTTTAGATACAGTGCTTCTACCCAAAGCAATGTCAGTATCCTTGCCGACAGAACATTGGAATGAGCCTTCTGCGAGGAATCGAAGGCAGGTTGCTAGCTTGATAAGTAACGGTATAGATGTTTCCTTGACAAATGGAGTTATCTCGTTCAATACTTATGAAAAAGCTCTGTTACTCAAACGATAGTTCGCAATAAATCTGACAATATTTTAGATACTGTGCTTCTACCCAAAGCAATGTCAGTATCCTTGCCGACAGAACATTGGAATGAGCCTTCTGCGAGGAATCGAAGGCAGGTTGCTAGCTTGATAAGTAACGGTATAGATGTTTCCTTGACAAATGGAGTTATCTCGTTCAATACTTATGAAAAAGCTCTGTTACTCAAACGATAGTTCGCAATAAATCTAAAAGCAGTTAAATTTAAACAGGCAAACTCCTCGAACGTTTGTTCAAAACTTACATTGAATCAGGCGTAGATTCATCTCTTAACCGTCGTCGATTAACACTCATTTGATAACGTTGCTCCCTTTCATTCAATGCGTAAGCTGCCATAAAAAAACATTTTATTTTTAAAGAAAATTCGTTTAAATTCAATTTTTCTAACAACCACATCTTTTGTCATGGGGTGTGTTCAGTTGACATAAAGCCGTCAGCTGTTTCGAAGTTACATTTGAACTTACCGTATTGAAATGGTACATTTGCTGTGAACGTTGAGTTCATTTCATCCACCAAAGCGCGCCAAAACTGCTGCTTTTTTGCCATAATCTCGCTAAGCGATAATAGATTGTATTTACGGTTAATCACAATCAATAGCAGTGCCATAGGCTGAATTAGTACCCAAATGGTAATCAGATATCGTATCGGTTTAAAATAAATCACAAATATTGCACAAATTCGCACTAAATCGTAGTTTTCCGTAAATGCATAAAGTAAGTTGTGGCGAACGACAAGCACGATTGCACACAAAGCGTGAGTTTTAAGTGCTTTAAGTTCAACCTAAAAGCTTTTGTGTTCAACACACTTTGCTAAGGGGAAATAGTGTTTAGGAGAAAAGCACTAAAGCGATTTCATTTTGGATACATTCACTGCAACGTGTGCTTTTGCGACGTTTGCAGCTCAAGCTTGTGGATAACTTAAGCTTGAAGAGCAAATGCGCGAAAGCGCTTAACTCGAGAGTAGAGTGAGTGATCGAGCTGAGCTTAACTATGACGCGCGCACGCTCAGCCACTCCGAGCGCTCAACTGAAATAGTTGGAGCAATATGCATTGAAGCTGTCTGGGGAGAGTGCAATGACGCCACAAAAAGCCACAGCACGGAGCATTTCGCCAACAGCAAGCCCGCATCCGCGCCAGCACCGCATTCTATACTCGTAGGTACCACACCAGCGATTTTCAGCCATTAATTGAGTTTTTGCCAGCGGTCAAATATCAGTTACTTGCGCTCTACAGACGCGTATACAACGAACCGATTGATTTGACGGTAGTGAGCACTAAGAACTGGATAGGTAGAAAACTTTAAATACCAAATTAAAAACGTAGAGATTAGTGGAAAATCTAGACAAGTAAATAGTTACATATTTGGCATAGGCTAAGAAACTAAGATTAGCGAGGCCGATCGAGGCGATTACACGTAAAACTATTTGACGGTTAAATTGACAGGAGATAGAGTTTAGTTGCCGGTGCAAATTGGCAATTGAATGGTGTCAGCAGCGCTTATTAGCTAAATACTCTTTGTAATTTGATTTCTATGTATTTTTGTAAGTGAGACATTCGAAAAGAAAGCGACAATATTTTTTTTTTTCTTTTAAACGAATTCACTTTTTACACTTACACGTGGTTTGATTAATTAAGTGCAAAGAGTCGTGCGTAAAAGTGAAAACAACTCAAGCCAAAGAAAAAGCAGAATTTACTAAGCGAAGCCAAAGGCAGACAGCGTGCAAAACAAAAAAGCTAAATTATTAAATTATAGGTAACTTAAGTGATTGCCAAATGATAAATTGAAGAGATTTACTTAAATAATACATATTTATTTATGTATGTATTTATGTACCCGCAAACCGTAAAAAATACTTTCGAAGCTGACAAATTTGATGTAAAAATACGAAGCATCATTAATGTCAGTAATGAGCACAAAGTTCGCCGTTGTAAAACATAAAACCAAAAGCCGCATGCGCAACAGCTGTGGCTAGCTAGCAAAGTAGGCAGAAACAAAGGAGAAAAAAAATATCAAAACACAAATTCAATTACTATAGTTAACAGCAACCACTGGAGGTAATAAGCTTACCTACAATAACAACAACAATAATAACAACAGCCATGATTATGAGTTATCGATATATATTGAATTACTCAAATGTGTCGATTTATCGAATCGAAGTTTTTGGAATTTTCAAAATATATCGAATTATCGAAATTTTTCAAGGTTATATAAGTTTATCGAGTTATCACTACTTATCGAATTTGATTGTGTTACTGGAGGGTGACGAATTATCGAAGTTTGTCGATAGCTGTCGAAAAATACGCAGCTATAAAATTTAATCGAGTTATCGAACTTTATAGAGGTATCCAAAGCTTATTGAGTTATCGAAATCTATCGAGCACAATTATCGAAAATTATCAAATTTATTCGAGTTATCGAACTTTGTTGAATTATCAATATTTTTTAAATTATCGAAATTTATCGACAAACTGGAATGTATCGGGTCAATTCCAAGACCTGCCAAAGTCCCCCAAAGACCTTGAAAGTTAGAAAACCGCTCCAAGGGTCTTAAAAAACTAGAAAAACGGTCGACTTTCGACAGTAACTGGCACACCTCGTTTCCAATACATATTTCGAACATTAGCCACATAGGATCATAAATGCGATTTTTGGTTAAAATCGGTCCAGTCGTTTAGGAGAAAAAAATCTGTACAGCAATTCGCGAGATTTCTTCTTGAAAAAGGGACTTTTCTTTATATAATTAGTATTGTTTACGGGGCAGTAAGCCTATTTACTGACCCGTATTACTTGCAATAAAAAAGAAATGCGACAACAAC